TTCCATTTTAAACAGTGCTGAGATTCACTTTGCAGTAGGTTACATTTGAGGGCTAATTTTTTGACCTCTGAGTTGCTCGGTCACTTCTCTAATCAAAAAGGACTGTGCTATTTACCACTTTTATTTAACATGTTTATGGTAGTTCCCAGGAACAAGGTTCATAGAATCATAGAATCAATGAGTGGGAAGGGACCTAGACAGATCATCTAGTCCGACCCCCTGCCATGGGCAGGAAGGAGCACTGGGGGTGGCAGGGGTCATAAGACCCCAGCCAGGTGCCTATCCAGTCTGCTCTTGCAGATTTCCAGGGAAGGTGAGAGTACCACCTCTCTGGGAAGCCTCTTCCAGGCTCTGGCCACCCTTACAATGAAGTAGCTCTTCCTAACATCTAACCTAAACCTATCCTCCTTCAGCTTGTGGCCATTGTTCCTGGTGACTCCAAGGGGGGCCCTGATGAACAGTCTTTCCCCGAGTCCCTGCTGGTGGCCCCGATAAGGTTTTCTGTAACATCTTTAACAGGAGCAAATGCGTGGTTGAAATAGGTGGGCCAGTAAAAGATCTCACAACACCCCCTTGCCTCTTATAAGTTTCCCTGACCTTCATGGTTGTACTAGCACTCCAATCTTACTACAACATAGTGTGTCTAGGGCACAGTTAAGGACAAAGACCCATTCTGCAAGCTCCTTAGCATAGGATTTAGGTTAGTCCCTGCCCCAAAGAGCTTACAGTCTAAATAGGGTAAGTCAGAGGCTAAGATAATTTACAAGCAAAGTCTGCAAACTTCAGATTCCCCAATACTTTGGTTCTGATTCATTTTTAAAACGTTACGGTGGTGGTTTTTTGTTTGGAAGGGATTGGTTAATGGAATGATAAAGGGAGAGAGGGGTTGAAACAAAAAACCAACTGGAATAGAGGAATAACATTAGACGGAAACCTGCACAATGTGCAGTGTTAGTGTTCAGTTCCGTCCTTGAACTGCATTCTGTAGCTGTGCTACAGCTTAAACTTCTGGTTTGCTCTTTTCTACAGTTCCTTCCCTGCCGTTCCTTCCATGTCTTACGGGAAAGACGTGTCATCCAGGTTGTAGTGACCAGACAGTGGAGTCTCTGTAGAAATCTGAGTCCCAGAATTGTTGAGCTTCTCCTAAGCTCCATTTATTTATTTATTTATTTATTTACACCATCCAATCCTGGTGTAGGACTATCTACTTACGCTGCTGCTGCAGCCATCCACCTGCCTTCAAGTTCCATCTCCAGTGACTTGCACAATTAAAAAAATGAAGTTATTTTTGAAGGAGCAAAAATCTAAATCAAAATTCTTTTATATTCTAGCTTATTGTCTGTGCAGAGAGCAAAATATGCTGGCCTGTATCTGATTCTAACGACTACAGGGCACTTTTCACTCTTCCCATTGTTGTTTACAGCACCAGGTAAAGCCTCATGCTTCCTCCTACTCCTTCCCTATTTTCATTTGACTTTTCTTTCTGTTTTTCTAAAGGTGATTTGGTGCCAGACCTTGGTTATTATACAGGCAATGTCAGAAAAGGTGACCAATGAAAGAGAAGAAATTGGGTTGAATTCAGTAACAAGAATGCACAGAGCACAGTGTGATTTGGGGGCTATGCAAACAAGTGTGATCTTTTTCCTAAACCAAAAGTGATTTAGTCCAGAGAGGAAGCACTGAGGCCCTGGCACACTGTTTCCATGATCAGACTCCTAGTATTTAAGTAAAGATGGGGGGCAGGGTGCACAGGAGAACCTGGTAAATGCTCTCTCCCCCTTGTGGTTCAGCCACATTTTGGAGAGTCCTCACCTTCCAAGTTCTACATAATGATTAGCATCTTTCTGCTGGAGGATATCTGGATTTGGAGTTCCTTTTTCGGTATCTGGGAATGCTACTTTTTAGAAGCATAGGGTTGTCAGGGCCCTCAGGGGTCATTCATTCCAACTCCTGCATGAACACAGCTCCTAAATCATCCCTGTCCAATGCATTTCCAGCCTCCTCTTGAAAACTTCCTGTGAAGGATATCCCACAACTTCCCTGGAACAGAGAGGCTGTGCTCTTAAGAAAAGAAAAGCTTCCTTTTTCCTCTTAACTGTTTTGGTATAACATTTCCTCTTTATTTAAAAAAAATGCTAATTAGGGAAAAAACCTACTGGCCATTTCTAGTTTTATAGATGACGTTTTCCAGTAGCCTTGTTTATTAGCCAAACTAGGTGGTATCTAAGGTCATAAACGGGCATTCATCTCTAGCTGTAGAGAATTCCTGAGAAATTTCCATCACTAGAAATCTTTCTGGGAGAGGGAGCATTGAGGTGCTCAGCCTGCAACTGGGAAGGCATGGGGAGCAGTGGCTGTTCTACTCTCACCCCATGGAGGGAGTTGAATTTCAGGGAAAGACTCCCTGTGCCTCCCCAAACTGAGGTTTGGAGACCAGGTGGGGAGCAAAGCCCCCAGTCCATTCCCCAGGTCAGGGAGCCCTGTCTGGGGAGTAGCAAGCAGCTGCTCCTCTAGTCTGCTCCCAGTCTTCAGGAGAGCAGAAGGGCAAACCCCCAGCCTGCTCCTGAGACCCCAGTCTGCAGAGCAGTGTGGGGCTAGTTCTTCCCTCCCAATCTAAGGAAGGGGCAGGAACAGCAGGGAAATGCCCCTGGTGTTTTCTCCAGACTGAAGTGATCCCAGTCTGGGGAATCCCAGCAGCATGGGAACCTTTCTCTGCCACTTGACTCTTCCCAGGACCAGGAGTCATCAACCAATGGGGAAGCATACAGGGATTCTTTCCTACAGGAGAAACTTGATGAACGCCTGGACACTTGTAGTTTTATTGGGAAAGTGGCGACTCCCCAGTGGAAACAGTGCCTGTACATGGCCTAAGTATCAGTTACTTTAGTCATTATACAAGACTAACATTGTGCACTAATCACCTAAAATGAAAAATTTAATGTGTAGAAATATGTTAAAGGGGAAAGTATCGGATCACTGTGAAGCGACTGAATAGTACATTAAGTAGTCAAACACGAAGTATCCCATGGATATGTAAGTAGGATGTCTGCTCCTCCCCTTTAAAGGTAACATTCATTAAATAGTGCAGGTGTTAATATGATCTTCCACAGTGTAACCTTGAGGATGCTACAGCATACACGATAAAATGAAGTATTGCACGTGTGCTCCATTTTAAAAATATTTTTTACATTTCAGAACTTCCAATTAAAATACTGCTAATGCTGCTGTTCACAGTCTATAGCTTCTCTTCATTGAGGACTTTGTTCAGGTAATAACTGAATGAATATTTAACACCTAGGCTACTGTTGAAGCATTTGGCTTGTACTAGTGGGGGGACCCAAAGGGTGAAGTCTTGGTCCTGTGCCCAGTAGGCAGTTGTCCACTTCAGATAGTGGACACCTTTGTTGTGAGACAAGACAGTGGTGGAATATGGACCAGCTGAAGTACTTACCTGGCCTTTGAGATGGTGAATGCGCAGCTGAGTGGATATGTTGCCAGGGCAAATGAATTATAATGCCCCAGTGTACAATCTTTCTCTGTTTTAGAGACTGATTTCAATCTCTAGACAATCGGCACAATAGCTTTCACAATCGGTAAAACTCACTTAACTTTTCATGTACTCAATTTTCTTTTTAAAGAAATGATTTATTGTGTATATTTAGTGTGCTACTGTGTTGTTAGTTTAGTGCAGCTTGCCATGGAAACATCAAATGTTTTGGCAACCAAATATCAACAAAGGACTAAGCATTAACTGCAGGTGCAATCCTCACTGAAATGACAGGCCACCCACATGCCTTAGGAAGTCTGAAGTGTCTCCCTTCATCATCTGCATCATCTGGATTCTAGCACAATGGCTTACAAACTTTTTGGACTAACAGACTGATGTCAAGCCCCCCAAATAGCTTATGAACTTTCATATACCTTTATCATCAAATCTTTAATTAAAATCACTACAGGGATAATGCAAACAAAAATATAGTCCTAGTTTTGTTGAAGTAGACATCCTGGTGTGCCTTTATTGATTTAATATTGATGAGATGAATGTTCCCTGTGTCAGTGAAAACCAGTTGTCCATGCTGAGGTTGGCATACTGGTTTTGACCGCAATTTGGCAGCCTCTAGTCTAGGGGTTGTATGAGTTGGAGAAAGCAATCATGTTTGCCTGGAAAAGGCAGTCCATTTCTCTTCTTGCAGTTTCATAGTTTCTAGGGTCGGAAGGGACCTGAGCAGATCATCTAGTCCAACCCCCTGCCATGGCAGGAAGAGCACTGGGGTCAAATGACCCCAGTAAGGTGGTCATCCAACCTCCTCTTAAAAACCCCCAGGGTGGGAGCCTGCACCACCTCACTTGGAAGCTGGTTCCAGACCCTAGCCGCCCTGACCGTGAAGTAGCGCCTCCTGATGTCCAACTTAAACCTTCCCTCCGCCAGCTTGTGACCATTGTTCCTGGTCACTCCTTGCGGCGCTCGGGGGAACAGGGACTCCCCCAGCGCCTGCTGATCCCCCCTAACCAGTTTATAACAGGCCACAAGATCCCCCCTCAGCCTTCTCTTTTGAAGGCTGAACAGGTTCAGGTCCCGCAACCTTTCCTCATAGGACCTACCCTGCTGTCCCTTGATCATACGAGTGGCCCTCCTCTGGACCCTCTCGATGCTGTCCACATCCCTCTTAAAGTGCGGCGCCCAGAACTGGATGCAGTACTCCAGCTGCGGCCTGACCAGTGCCGCATAGAGGGGGAGGATCACCTCCTTGGACCTGCTCGAGATGCATCTGTGGATGCACAACAAGGTGCAGTTGGCCTTCCTAGCCGCCTCCCCACATTGCCGACTCATGTTCATCCTGGAGTCAATAATGACTCCCAGATCCTTTTCCACCTCCGTGCTGACAAGAGGGGAGTTTCCCAGCCTGTATGTGTGGTGCCGATTGTTCCTCCCCAGGTGCATCACCTTACACTTGTCTGTGTTAAACCCCATCCTGTTCTCCGCCCATCCTTGTAACCTATCTAGGTCCAACTGTAGCCTGTTGCTCCCCTCAATTGTGCCCACTTCCCCCCACATCTTAGTGTCATCAGCAAACTTGAAGTTTGGTTTACTGTATTTTCTTAAATCTAAAACAACACTGAATTTAAGACAATCCTCCAATAATTACATTCTGTACATGGAAAATGTATACATTTATCCCCCCACCCCACTCCTGCAGGGGGCAGGCACTGGGGAGACAGGTGTGTGGGGAGGTCAAGCAGTCTACCCCCTTCCCCCAAAGTCTTGGGCTGCCGCTTTCCCCTCTACCTCCGCATGCTCCATCCCCATTCTAGCCTGGGGCACTGAGCAGGGCTCCGGACCCAAAACAGCCATGTAGGCTGCACGCTGCTGCTACAGGGCCATCTGGAGCCCTGCTCAGTGCCCCAGGCTGCAGTGTGGATGGAGCCTGCTGGTACAGAGCAAAGGGAGAGGGACAGTTGGGGGAGTAGAGACTGCAGCTGGAAGATGGCAGGGAAGCAGGCACTAGCTGTGGCTATAGCCAGACCCTGGGTAGGGACTGGAGCCTGAGCCACAGCAGTTGCCTCCCCTCCCCGCCGCCCCTGCCCTCATACTCGGTTCTAAGATGAGGGGCTTCCCCCCATGTTAAATAGCAGGAAAAAAAGCCTCACCTTAGAACTGAGTAAATACAGTAATTGTCAGCCTTCTAGTTGAACTTCCACTTCTGCAAAGCTCTGAAATTCTGCTCCTACAAAGCTTAGATCTCCGTAGTGCTTAGTGCTATATCAGTGTGCTAGTCCTGATCTTAGATAATCAGGAACAGCTCAGGGACAATGAGAATGGTCTCCCAAGGCTTCTCTTAATTAAAGGCTTCACTACAATATGAAATTCATTTAAAGATACACATGCAGGTGTTAATGTCCGTGTTCATAGTTCATGTACAAAATGTCTGACGGCTTTCTTTCAATTTGGATACCTCTACAATGTGTCAAATGTAAGGCCAGAAATAATGACACTATCTCCTCCGCTTCCTGGATGTAGAAGAGGTGGCCTCAGATGAAGTACCTCTGAAACTATGAAAGGGCTCTTGGCCTCCGTTTTGACAGGGTGGGAGCGGCACGTGGTGACATGAAATGGTTACTCAAATTTCTAGTCTAGATTCAAAGCTGCTAAAATGTAGGCTGTTGTATTTGGGAGTTATCATCCTGTGTTATAAAGAAACTAGCTTTACATTGTACTTAAAGTATGCTCTCAAGCCGTGTCTTTAAGTACATGTATTTGAAGATCTAATTGCAGTTTAAAGTCTTGTGACTTGGTGCATAGTGAATAGGCAGGGCGGAGCCAACGTGCTTCATGTTAACTGGAAAATAATAAACCTGCAGTTTCTTCACTGAAACCACTTATTTTCCTCTTTTGCAGGAAAAATGGGCCTCTGCTGAACTGGCTGGAAATCCTCTACCTCACTGCATTGGTGCCTCTGGAAATCTTCTGTGAAATTGTATTCCCTTTGAGCCCCTGGAAACTGAAATTGCCTTTTATCCCTTTGTTACTAAGTTCTGTATACTGTGCTCTAGGCATCACATATGCTTGGCTCAAACTGTATGTCTCCGTCTTGACTGAATCAGCAACTGTCAGACAAAAGGCAGAATAGAGAAGCATCACTGGGATCAGTGCCAAGAAAACCCTTCACGTGGACCATCCGGCACTAGGGGGAGTGTTCTTCCAAGGACACGTCTGCAGTGAAAAGCCAACAGTACAGTGTCCTGTTCGGCTCATAAGTGCAGCTTTTCAGCACCTCTGTACCATCCAACTGTTATACCTCTGATCAAAGCAGCTGTCTAAAATAATGCGTTTCTCATGAGGTGCTCCTTGCCATGTATAAACTGTGAAATCTAATTGGAAAAAAAAATTATAAAAAAAATTGGCCACTTAAAATGTCCAGATTGCTGCCCTTGAGAAAATGTATGGCTACTGGTAAGGGATCATGGCTGTGTAGACAAGAACATTGTAATCATGTACTGTGGAAAATGTAAATAAAATTCTTTTTTAATATTCCTGCATTCATCATCTTGAATAGCCTTGCAGCTGATATGTTTGAACTTTGCTGCAAAGTTGTTCTCCAAAGGAGGCGTATGAATTAAAGTCAAATTGTGAACTGTTTTTATGCCCAGTAGTTGTTTGGCCAGACTTGTATGCTGATGAAGTAACATATGTGAACCTGATTCTGTGTTTGCTGCGCTGGTTCCTTCCACCCCTTGCCCTACTTTCCAGTTACCAGACATATGCCTGAGTCCACTTCGCCTTGAAAAGTGACAGCACCAAATGATGACCAGCTCTTCTAAAACAAAGAGAGTGATTATCATACCTCCAAGAAAAGCACAAGGAATGTGTTGTTGGGGAATATGAGATATTTTTATCACTATTACATTTGATATAAATGACTTTTGAAATGGAAACACAGTAGAAGAGATTAAGGGCTTTCATATAACGTGAACTTCTCTGCCCCCCTGTCCAAAGGAAAAGCTATTACTCTACATCTCTGGTTGTGCAGTGGCAGAAATCAGGTTCAACTTCCACAATCTGTTCACATCCTTTTTAATCAAGGTTCCTAGATGCTGAACTGTATTAAACTGTGTGTTTCCCTTTTTGAACTCGCGTTGCGTGTTTTGCCTACTACATGGAGAAAATTATTTTCCCTAAAATTTCCCTAGTCTTAGTAACCAGATGCCAGATCCTGTATTTCTGATACCTTTTTTCTGATGCCAGATCCTGTAACTATTTGGGGGGGTGGGTTTCAGGGAGCAACTTGTAAGCAGATCTCTGCCTCTTCAGCAGCCATGGAAGAGGTCGGCCTTTATTTACAATAAAACGTAGGATCCCGTGTTAGTAGTGAATATAGTTTACGGGCTTCTTGTTTCCAGAACTCAACCATCTGTTTACATCATAGAAAAGCAGGACACCAAGCAACCAGCACAAACATTTTAATATATTGTGAGATAATAAATGCTTCTCTGCCCTCACCAAAATATCTCCAGGTGCCTGTAGCATGGAAGAGATCAGTGGCACCCCTGTTATGCAGGGGCCCATAAGTGAGGTAGTGCTTGCTTTTTTTTAAAATGCCCAAAATACCAGCTTCCACTGCCACTTTTTACCCTCTGTGCATTTCTGTTTGGTAAAACTCGTTTGCTGTTTTTGGATAGTTGCTGAAATTTCTCTGCCACCTGCTAATGCCTCATGCTCTTTATTTGTAGCTCTCTTACTGCTTCAGTGTTGCAATGTACAGCAAACTCTTTAATCCATCTCTTTTCCATCTGTAAAATGGATATAATATGGCAGCGGAGCCCAGAACGCAGCTTCTGAAGTTCAATTAACGTGAGAATCTAATGTGAAAGCTCCTAGCTCACATGCAGTGCTTCTACAACTGACCACCGAGTACCCAGCGGCAGGAAGTGCTTGTCCTCTGGTTTTCCTGCATCTCCTGCTTGCACCAGCTCCTGCCATTTCTGTTCAGCTTCATAATATTGGGTGTTTTATAAAAAGCCGATTTCCTGCTGTCCTGTGTTAAAGGCAGGTTTAGATATTTAAAAAGCAACTGTGGAGGTCCTAGGCCTTCGGGTTACAGCTTGACATTGTGAAGGCAAGTTAATTAGAGAAGGCAAAGCTCCATGTTAAGCATCTTGCTGGGCAAAGGGAAGCCATGAGGTGGCTGAAACCTATTACGAGCACAGGCCTCCCAGGACATCTGCTCCCAGCCCCCTGACCTGCAGCAAGAGCCACTGGAAAAGAGTATTGGGTCACTGAAGATGCCACAAGCAATTTGCTGGATTCATGTTTTTAAGCCTCCCTTGGAGACGGCGGGTGTTGGCTGCAGCCCAGGCCAGGGATTGTGACTGAGCTGCACCAGGGCTCCTGCTAGGACTTGAAGCCAGCAGTTCCTGGCTAGAGGGTTTTGCCCCTCCGCTCCGGGCCAAACTGATGCTGCATTTGGGGTCAGGAAGGAATTTTCCCCTATGTTCAGGCTGGTAGGGACTGCAGGGCGGGGCACGGCCCTCTACCTGGCACCTCTGGGGTGGATATAGAAGCAGGGAGTTGGCTGCCATGGTCCCCCTGCTTCACTGGTGGCAGGTCAGGATGCGCCATCTCTGCTGCATCAGAGGCGACCAGTTTTGTGAAGAGGTTAGACACTGGAGAGCAGGATGGTCTGGACAGGGCTGATCCTGCTCCGGGCAGGAGTGGTTCTCACCTTGTTTGTACCCGGACCCGTTTGCAAACATCAAGAGCCAGTCCCTACCCAGTGCCCCTCACTCCCAACCCCCAGGGCATGGGGCAAGGGGTGCGTGTGTGGGGCAGGGGTTGTGCAGGGAGCACGGCCCCTACACCACCAGCCCCTTGCAGGCTACAAGGGAAAAGCCAGGCCCCCACACTTTTTCTCCTTTAAAGGAGACTCAATCCATTTTCAAAGCGTGTCGATCCATTTTTCCAGGTTGTAGCCGTATGAGTCGAAAGGAAAAGGCGCGCGGGACTCGCGGTAGACGTGATCTTTTTCCTTTATCACGGAAATTGTTTATTTTTTGCAAAAAATCTTGGTCTCATAAAAGATATCGTCGCTACGACGAGTCCCGATGGCCTCGATCCATTCCCCCCTGCCCAAGTCTGCGTAATCTATTCTTGCGACCCACTTTTGCGTCGCGAGAAGCCCTGGGCGACGGAACCTCCGCAACGGGAACGCGGAACCAAACAGGACTCAGCCCCTGCGCCGCCCTTGAGCGCCGTGGGGCGGAAGTAGGGGGGAAGGAAGAGGCGGAGCGCCGCGGGGCGGAAGTGGGGGGAAGGAGGAGGCGGGGCGGAAGTGGGGGCGGGGAAGGAGAAGGAGGTGGCGGCGCCATGTCGGTGTTGCCGGATGAGTCGCGCTCGCTGCCGCCGCCGAACATCGTGAACCACAACTCGGTGGTGTTGGCTAGCATAGGCTGGGCTGCGGTTGTGCTCAACAACCTCGGCCACCGCCGCCCCGCGCTGGGCACCGGTGAGGGCTCAGCCTCCGCCTCCGCCTCGGCTCGACCTACCCGCGCGTCCTGCCCCCGCCCCGGGCCTGGGTCGCGGCGCTAGCCCCGGGGGGGAGGAGCCGTCTGTGTGTACTTGTGTGCGTGTCCGCAGGGAGAGCGCGCTAGACAAATATTTACAGAGACAAATATTTATAAAGCGATACCTATAGATGTGTATAGAGCAGGGGCGGGCAATTATTTCGGGCCGGGGGCTGCTTACTGAATTCTGGCAAGCCACTGAGGGCCGCATGACAGGCAGCCAGGGCAGATAAACATTAATTTACTAAGTTTTTAGGGGCCCCACGGGCCATGTTTTGCCCACCCCTGGTATAGAGAGCCCGAGCTCTGGATAAATATCTATGGAGAAACAGGTACATCTCTGTATAGGGAGAGATAGAAATAAGTATCTTGAGAGATATATACAGTATAGAGATTTCTATAAACTCTATACGTTATAATATCTATATATAGATGTGTGTGTGTATCTACCTACCTATTTAGATGCATAGATATCTGAGTGTGTGTACATGTGTACACACACGCAAACGTACACATACAGATATCTGTGTATCTAAATAGGTTGATATACAAATAGGCCAATATCTATAGAGAGAGATGGATAGATATAGAAATAGGCATAGAGAGACATCTGTATCTATATCCAGACACACACATGCAGGAGACTGAGAGCATGTGTGGTTTCATGAGCCCAAGTTCAGTTCGTGAGAAATCTGAAGTCACAGAGAGGTCAGTGGCTGTGTTAGTCTGAAGTCAGGCAGAAGGCAGGGGAGATAGATGTGTACCTTATGGACTAACTAAATCATGTATAGAGAGATTTTATATAAATGTGTGTCTGTGTACACACATACAGAGAGGGAGCACACAAGAGTGCAAAAGTTTGCACAGATGCAAGTTCACTTTATCGGAAGTCTGAAGCCGAACTAAATCCAATCTATAGAGAGCACACGCTTCTGTGAGCTTGAGTTTGCTTCATCTGATGCTGTAAACTTGGGTTCACAAAAGCTTGTGATGGATGGATGGA